GGATGAAGAGTAGCAAGCTGAAAAAAGCAGGGTTACTTTAGTCTCTACCCGTACCGGAGCAGCCATGGCAGGTCGTTAGCCTCGACTTCGTCACAGGACTTCCTTCGACCTCACGAGGGCATGACGCTATACTCGTGGTGATCGATAAGTTCTCCAAAATGGGTCACTTCATACCGACCAACGCCACAGCTACAGCTGAAGCAACTGCTCACCTCTTCTTCGACCGCATCATCACCATCCACACCATCCCCGCTACACTCATCTCAGACAGAGACCCCAAATTCACGAGTAAGTTCTGGAAGGAGCTCATAGGATTATTGGGGACTAAACTTGCGATGTCCTCAGCATACCACCCACAGACTGACGGACAGACAGATCGACTCAATCAAGTGTTGAACAGTTACTGCGCACAGCTTGCAAAGACGACATCAGCCACTGGGATCTACAGTTACCCATACCACTTACACCAGAGCAGCCAACCACACCGGCACACGTCCAAGCCGCACATGACTTCGTCACCACCATGCAGCAGCTATGGGAGAAGACTCAGCGACGTCTTTCCACGATGCAGAACTCCCAGAAGTAATATGCCGATCGCCATCGACGTGATCACACCGTAGCAGTCGGGGATCAGGTGCTTCTCGACACGCGCAACTTGAACCTGTCTCACCTACCATCCAAGCTCCGGCCTCGCTTCTGTGGTCCTTTTCACGTTGAGGCACAGGTGACACCAGTAACATTCCGCTTGCGCTTACCTACTACTTGGAAGCTTCACAATGCTTTCCATGTTCAGCTATTGAAGCCCTACAAGGACCCCAACCATCAGTTCTAGGGACGACAGTTACCGCCACCACCACCTGTATTCGTACAGGATGAACCAGAGTACGAGGTGGAACGAGTGCTCGCTCATCGACGCAGACGTGGCAACACGCTCAAGTTCCTGATACGCTGGAAGGGATATGACCCATCGGAGGACGCTTGGGTTGCAGAAGCTGATATGGGCAACGCACGCCGTGCTCTCAAGGACTATCTTGTCAAGCAGGGTGTTTCTCACGCCACCCAGCTTTGAGGGGGGGACGTGTGAGAGTACGACGGCTTATGCTGGCTTTGCTAGCTTGCCTGGACTTTATTATGCTATTTCTAGCATAGGATTTTTTTATGCATGCATGAATTGCTTGATTACCTAGGCTAGGTGCTCTTCTATATTTTATTATAGTTATAGCACCGAGCTAGGTTGCGTGCACCGAATTCTGGGCTTTTCAATTGCTACCGAATTGCCTTCTACCGAATTCGGGAAGGGTCTGTTCGGGACGCTTCGCGACCCTCAGAACCTTCGCGTAACACCTGGTTACTGGGCCTTGTGTCGAGCCTATATATAGCCTCGTGTTGTACCCAGGTGAATCATTCAATAGAATCATCTTTCCTGAACCAGATCCTCACACCTCTCCTGTGTCCTCCGCCTGACCAGTCACAGCCGCAGTTACTGCCTGGCTCCCCACTACCTGCTCCTTCTCCTTACCCTGCGCAAACAGGCTCCCTGGCAGAGCATCATGAGCCTGAGTCTCGTCCTGCCTCCCCTGTTCGCACCGTCACGCGTGCTCGTCGTCCTCGTCCTCCACCTGTCCCCGGCACGAACATTATGGCACTTCGTCCTTCCTCTGTTCCACAACGTGTTGCTCTGCCGTCTCCTCCGGCATCCTCTCTTCCTGACGTTCCTGACCCTGAGTCTTACCTTGCTCATGCTGCTAGTCCTACTATCACTCGTCTCCTAGCCACTCTTGTCACTGACCCTTCCTTTGAGTCTACTGCTGCGTCTGCCTTATTCACTGAGCTCGTAGACTTTGCTGCTACCTGTCGTCTCGACTACGTCACGAGTCTTATTACTCAGTCTGAGTTTGACTGTCCTCCGTCCGTCGCGGGTGAGCTTGCCCTTGGCAGTGACGTCCTTGAGGACATGCAGTTTGAGCTTGAGCGCCTCGCGTTCGCTGTACCCCATCTCGCGTCCATACTGCTTTGCCCTGAGGGAGACCCGGATGCACTAGACATCCCTACCCCGCGCTCTTACGCAGAGGCGATCACGGGTGAGTACTCCTCTCAGTGGCAGACAGCCATGGACGCAGAGATGGCTTCCTGGAAGTCCACAGGCACCTACGTCGACGAGGTTCCCCCTCCTGGGGCGAACATAGTCGATGGCATGTGGATTTTCAGGGTGAAGCGGCCGCCGGGTTCTCCACCTGCCTTCAAAGCACGTTACGTTGCACGAGGCTTCAGTCAGCGACATGGGGTCGACTTCTTCCAGACCTTCTCCCCCACCCCGAAGATGACCACTCTTCGGGTGTTACTGCACGTTGCAGCACAGCGTGACTACGCGCTCCACTCGCTTGAATTCAGCACAACTTTCTTGCATGGCAGCCTTCACGAGGAGATCTGGCTGCGCCGCCCACCTGGCGGTCGTTTCCTGAGGGTACCCAGTGGAGCCTCCGACGGCCAGTCTACGGTCTCCACCAGGCGCCCCCCGAGTGGCACGACACACTGAGGACTACACTTGCGGCTCTTGGGTTTGCTCCTTCGACTGCTGACCCGTCGCTGTTTCTGCGCACCGACCCTTCTCTGCCGCCGTTCTACATTCTCGTGTACGTCGACGACTGGGTCTTTGCTACTGCTGACACTGAGGCGCTGACCCTTGTGAAGTCGGAGCTATAGAAGAGACACACTTGCACTGACATGGGTGAGCTGCGTAGCTATCTTGGCTTGCAGATCACCCGGGACAGAGCAAGGCGCACCATCACTCTGACTCAGTCACACATGGTGCAGCAGGTCCTTCAACGCTTCGGCTTTTGGTTCTCCTCGCCACAGCCTACTCCTCTGCCTACAGGCCACTCGCTCTCAGCTCCACCTTTGGACGAGTCCGTAGAGCCGAGTGGTCCGTATCCAGAGCTTGTGGGCTGCCTCATGTACTTGATGACGTGCACACGACCTGACCTTGCGTACCCTCTCAGCATCCTTGCTCGCTTTGTTGCACCCGGGAGACACCGGAAGGAGCACTGGACAGCTACACAGAGGGTACTGCGTTATTTGTGCAGTACGTCAGGCATGGGGCTTGTGCTTGGAGGACGGGGCTCAGTGGTACTCACAGGACACTCCGACGCTTCTTGGGCCGACGACCAGGCGACTCAGCGGTCGTCACAGGGTTACTCTTTCAGTCTTGGCTCTGAATCTGTCTCGTGGAGGTCCACTCGTTCGTCTTCTGTGCTTGGTTCCAGCTGTGAGGCCGAGATTTACGCTGGAGCCATGGCTGCACAGGAGTTACGCTGGCTGACCTACTTGCCCACCGACTTGGGTGAGCGGCCTCGTTCTCCTCCAGTTCTGTACGTCGATAACAAGGCCATGATTGCCTTGTGTCGGGAGCAGAGACTGGAGCACAGAACGAAGCACATTGCTCTTCGTTACTTTCTTGCTCGAGAGTTGCAGCAACGTGGTCAGCTTCGCCTTGCTTACTTGGCCTCTCGGGTTAACACTGCTGATGTCTTCACCAAGGCCCTTGGGTCTGGTGATCATCAGCGTTTCTGCACTGCTCTAGGCCTTGTGCCTACTCTGCCTCACCTGCTGGTTGCTTGACTTTGCCTTTTACTGTGATCCATCTATATATACCTGCATGCTTGCTCTTGCTAGGTTGTGATCACTGTACTGCTTGTGCTTTTATAACTCCTGCATGTGAACTGGCCTTGTGGCCGCTTGCTTGTGCTCAGACTGCGTGGTGATCTTGAGATCTACCCTGAGCTTTGCTTTGCTTTGTTCTCTTGCTTGACTGGTCTTGTGACCGTTGGTTGTGTTTGCTATCCCCCACTTCGCCCATGGGGGTGTGTCAAATTGCATTTGTATGTCTGTAGGCTGTAGTGGGGTAACTCTATTGAGTACAACACTTTAGGGTTAGACCTACTTGTACTCATCTTCCATTGTAGTCAATCATTCTTGCCCGTTAGTTCTGACAAGTGTAACACTTTGTAGAATTTCGTATTGTGAAGGCGAGGACGTGGCCAACGCAGAAAAGGATGCAGTGCGATGCTACTCACCCCTCATTTCGCCTACAAAAGAGGGACGTGATGCTATTCGCTCGCCTCACCCACGTTCTTCATTTCGAGTTTTAGTTCTCTTTTCCCGCCACCCACCCCATTGTGTATCATTACAGTGGACGAGAATGATGTACTACCCATTTGGAATGAAGCACACTGCATTTGCAAGAGGACTAAGCAAGCTTTCACTACCTTTGGTACTATGCAACAGCTAGAATATACAGGTATCTGGTCCAGTTCTTTTATAGCATATATGGTACTGCAAGAATGTATTGCAATACATATTTCATACTACACCAACTCAATAAGCTGACAAGGAAGCGGGTGGCGGCCGTTCCTCTGCACCCCCTACAAACCCATTTGACTCTCATTTTCCCATCGCACCTGAGCTTTTCGCTCTTGCCTTACATGGGAGGCCGACAGCCAGCCAGCGCTGCACTGCACTCCCATATGTCATCCCCTCACTATCACCAAGCACTGTCCCGCACGTCACACACGAGAGGCCGACACCAAGCACTGAACAGCAGCCCTTCTCTGCACCCCCATAGTCCTCCCATCACCCACTCTCGTTCCAGCAATGCCTCTCATATCGCAGACAGCAAAAGCAAATCTGCACTTGTATGAAAAAACCTCCACTTCCCCCGCCCTCATCGCACCAACGCCTCTCGTAACTCATGCACGGGAGGCCGACAGCAATCGCTGCATCATCCGTGCCTGCTGCCCACTGCTGCCCACCCTCTCCGTGTGGCTCTCATGTGTCCACGCCCTCTCTCACCCACCAGCCTCTCTTGCACATCATGCATGGGAGGCGGGCAAGGATCGCTGCATCATCAGTGCCTGCTGCCCCTTGATCCGCGCCCTCTCAGTGTGGCTCTCATGCGTCCGCGCCCTCGCTCACGCCCTCATCCCACCAGTCCCTCTCGCACATCACATATGGGAGACCGCCATCGATCGCTGCATCATCAGCCGCCGTGCCTGCTGCCCACTGCTGCCCGCCCTCTCCGTGTGGCTGTCAGGAGTAGGTGAAACTCCACCAGCAGCAGAAGCAGCAGAAGCAGCAGCATCAGCAGCAGCAGCAGCAGCATCAGCAGCAGCAACAGCAGCAGCAGCAGTGCCGCCACCAGCAGCAGAAGGAGCGCCAAATCCCACTGCCTTGCTCTTGTGATGCCCAAAGCTGGCAAAATCAGGCATGTGTGGAAGATGCAAGCTCCGTGCCCCACTGGCCAAGTCAGGCATGTGCGGTAGATGCAAGCTCCGGGCGCCATTGGCAAAATCAGGCATGTGTGGAAAGTGCACTGCATGGCCGCTCAAAAACCCGTGCCCTCCGCCCTCCCTCTGGCCCCCTTCCCTCTGACTCCCCCCCCGCATACTCCTAAAGAGCGTTTTCAGCCTAGCAGAAGCACCTTTACACTCTGGACAAATAGACGCCCCACTGCCTTCCACCCCTCCATCACCTCCCAATCCTCCCCGGCCACTCTGCGACATCTGCAGCAGCTGCAGCGAGTGAACCTCATTCAAATGCTCATTCCACCGCCATATATCCCCATCCACATTCTTAGACCACTCCGGAAGCTCCCGCTTCTCAATAAAATGCGCGACCACTCTCAGAATCCTCGGATCCCGGAAATACGCCCCGTGATTCAAATCACAGCGCCCTGTAATCTCCCCCACACGCTCCTCGAACATCACACACAGCTGCTGCAACTGCCGCTCAAACTCCCGGTCGCTGAGCCGGGGGTTGCGACCCATGGTGGGCAGCTGGGACTTGAGCCGCTGGAACGTCGGAGACTGCTCTGCTAGTTTGGAGAGCTCCCGGTCGTCCCAGAGGAACTCGAAGGCGAGCTTCTCACGCTGGTCCCTGGCAGTGCTTGTACTGGCGCCAGCAGGAGTGGGAGCAGCGCCAGATGGAGTGGGAGCAGCACCAGATGGAGCACCGGATGAAACAGGACCAGGTCCAGATGAAACTATCTCAGCTGCACTGTCACTCTCCCCGTCCCCATCCCCTTCTCGCTCACCCGTTTCTGTCCCGCCTGCCAGGCACCCAAGCCGGCCCCCCTTGCCGCCCTCCTTGCTCCGCGCATTGCCTGTCTGCCTCAGCAGCAGCCCTCGCGCCCCCCGTCGCCTCCGGAACACGCTGTGCGTGCTCTTCCTCAGCGCAGCAGCCCCCTCGTTTCCGCCACCCTCCCCACTTCCATCACCCTCCTCGCACGAGGGGGGTTGCACAGCGGCAGCGGGGGGTAGCTTGAGCCACTCGGGCTGCTGCGCAGGGGCAGTGCTGCTGCTGCCCTCACAACCGGGCGTGCGGTCACGGCGATGGGCCGCAGGGGACGGCTCCAGCCAATCGGGTTGCTCCACGGTGTCGTCCTCGTAGCCGGGCATGAGCTCTCCCTTTAGCGACTTGGTCTTCGCCTCTGCCAGGAGTTTCTGAGGGGGGGGATGGGAAGAAGGAGAGCAACGGGGGAGAAAGGGATGGGAGAGAGTGAGGGAGGGAACTGGCTTAAGCCACTCGGGTTGCTCCACGGTGTCATCCTCGTAGCCGGGCATGAGCTCTCCCTTGAGTGACTTGGTCTTCGCCTCTGCCAGCAATTTCTGAGGGGGGGGGGGGGGGGGGGGCGTAGGTCGGATAAGGGATGGGAAAGAGGTTGATGGGCGAAGGTGGGGAGAGGGGTCGATCATGAGTGGTGGGTCATAGCCGGGCATGAGCTCGGCCTTGAGCCACTTGGTTTTCGCCTCTGCCAGCATTTTCTGAACGGGAGAAGGTGCGGGTGGTGAGGGATAGGGGGTGAGAAAGGGGGATGAGTGGGGAAAGGAGGGAAGCCAGAGGATGAGGGAAGAAAGAGGGAGAGAGGGGAGTGGCTCGAGCCAATCGGGCTGTTCCACGGTGTCATCCTCGTAGCCGGGCATGAGCTCGCCCTTGAGAGACTTGGTCTTGGCGTCCGCCAGGAGTTTCTGGGAGATGGAGGGGTGTGATAGGGTGAAGGCCAGGAGTGAGATAGGGAGGGTGATAATCAGCAATAGCTCATAGCCGGGCATGAGCTCTCCCCTGAATGGCTTGGTCTTCGCCTCTGCCAGGAGTTTCTGAGAGGGGGGAGGAGCAGAGAGGGGGACGGGAGAGGGGGAAAGCGAGAGAGTGGGAGGGGAGGGAGAAGGGGAGGAGAGGAGCAAAGCAGAGGGGTGTTAACAAAAGGGTGGCAACGGCTCAGGGAAAACTAACGAGGCTAGCAGCAGCGCTTACCTGCACGTTCCAGTGATCCACTTGCTGCGTAGAGAGCTCCATGTCTAGATGCTCGTCCACATACACGTAGCTCAGGTCTCCGGGAGACAGCCAAAGCTGACCATCCTGCATGTACTTAACCTTCTAGCGTGCGTACACACCTGCACATTCCAATGATCCACTTGCTGCGTGGCCAGCTCCATGTCGAGATTCTCGTCCACATACACGTATGCGTAGCTCAAATCCCCCGGAGACAGCCCAAAGCTGACCGCCACCACCGCCTGCTGAATCCACCCAGTCACCACCGGCGCGATCAGGTGCGAGAAGAGAGACAAGACGGCAGCAGGGAGGAAGAAGAGAATGTCCCACACGAGCACGACCATGCAGTGACACAGGTACGCCCACCACACGCGCTGGGGGGCGTAGCGTGTGGGCGCCTTGGGGAGCGGCGCCCAGGGGGTCTGCTTCAGGACTTTTGTCAGGTGCGGGAAGACGTAGGCTCGCGTGATTGGCTCCATGGATAGAGCGAGGCTCGCCTGGGGGGAGGAGGAGAAGAGGGAACGGTGAGGGGGAGGGAGGGCGAGGGGAGGAGAGGAAAAGGAGGCAGGGAATGGGAGGCGGAAGAGGAGTGGGGGGGAAGGCAAGGCGGGTGTTTTATTCGAGAGATGGCAAATCAATGAAGAGACGAGTAAGGTGAGGAGAGGAGGAAGAGTGAAGGAAGGTGGGAAACGTGATATGCTATTCGGCCAGTCGACGGGCACTCGCCTGGTGAGTGAACGAGGGTGGGGACGAATGGGGGTGGCAGGAGGTGGCAGGGGATGCTTGGGGGGTTGCATTGACTCACCTCATCCAGCTTGCCGGCGTGAATGACGAGGGCGGACATGGCAGGCGACCAGTCGAAGGCCGGGTTGTGGTAGAGGTTGCCGCTGTACAGCACCGTGTTGCCTGTGGCCTGGAGAGGGGGAGGGGCCGGGTGGAAAAGGGGGGGAATGAGAGGCGAAGGAGGGTGAAGGGGGTTGTGGTAGAGGTTGCCGCTGTACAGCACTGTGTTGCCCGTGGCCTGGGGGGGGGGAGCAGGGGGAGGAGGGGAGAAGGGGGAGGATGAGAGAAAGTCGGATGAGTGGCGAAGGAGAGCGAAGGAGTTGTGGCAGAAATTGTTGCTGTGTAGCACCGTGTTGCTCGTGGCCTGGAGGGGGGAAACAGAGAGGCATGAGGAGATCGAGTGGGTGGGGCGAGGAGGGACGGAGAACAAAAGGGGTGGTGGTTGATCCAACAGTGACGGTGTGCAGCACAGTGGTGCGCAGAGGGTGACAGGATGAGGAGTGGAGTGGGAAATATGAGATGGCGAGCGGTTTGGGAGGGTGAAGAGGGGCGGGAAGGTGGAGAGGGGTGGGAGGGTGAAGAGGGGTGGGAGGGTGAAGAGGGGTGGGAGGGTGAAGAGGGGTGGGAGGGTGAAGAGGGGTGGGAGGGTGAAGAGGGGTGGGAGGGTGAAGAGGGGTGGGAGGGTGACGAGGGGTGGGATGGTGAAGAGGGGTGGGAAGGTGGAGAGGGGTGGGATGGTGAAGAGGGGTGGGATGGTGGAGAGGGGTGGGAGGGTGGAGAGGGGTGGGAGGGTGGTATTTTGGCGTTGGTGGTAGTTTTACCATGGATGTGAGTGGGAGGGCAACCACACAGCCATGCCATCAATCTCTCCTGCCTCTCTGTGAGTGTACCAACATCCACCACTCACTCTCCCTACACCCACATCTTGGTGCACTCACACCTGGGCACACTCACACCTCCGTACACCCATGCTTCGTCACACTCACGTCCATGATCTGCTTGACCAGCACGAGCAGCATGATGCCCGTGGCGACATGGCTGTGTGGTCTTTGAGTCGACTCAAACGTCATCCCGTGGCGACATGGCTGTGTGGTCTTTGAGTCGACTCAAACGTCATCCCGTGGCGACATGGCTGTGTGGTTTTTGAGTCGACTCAAAAGTCATCCCGTGGCGACATGCCTGTGTGGTTTTTGAGTCGACTCAAAAGTCATCCCGTGGCGACATGCCTGTGTGGTTTTTGAGTCGACTCAAACGTCATCCCGTGGCGACATGCCTGTGTGGTTTTTGAGTCGACTCAAAAGTCATCCCGTGGCGACATGGCTGTGTGGTCTTTGAGTCGACTCAAAAGTCATCCCGTGGCGACATGCCTGTGTGGTTTTTGAGTCGACTCAAAAGTCATCCCGTGGCGACATGCCTGTGTGGTTTTTGAGTCGACTCAAAAGTCATCCCGTGGCGACATGCCTGTGTGGTTGAGCTCCCACACAAATCTGTAGTGATCCACCAGTAGCACTGGGATAGGATATGATCGCACATAGTGCTCAATATATGCACACCCACACCTCGTTACACTCACATCCATGATCTGCTTGACGAGAACGAGCAGCATGATGCCCGTGGCGATGAGGAAGTTGAGAAGGAGGATCAGGTGAGGGCCGGACTCCGCGTAAAACCTGCGAGTGAGGGGAGGGAGGAGGGGACACAGCAAAAGGGTGGGACGGAGAGGAGGGCCTTTTGAGACGTTCCAAAGCTTGAGGAGCACGAGCAGCATGATGGCTCGCTGAGCGCCAGCAGCATGATGGCAGTGGCGATGAGGCAGCTGAGAAGGAGGATGAGGTGAGGGCCTGACTCCGAGAAAAACCTGGGGGGTTGGGAGGCAAGGGGAAAAAGTTGGATGGAGAGGAGGGGAGGAGAGGAGGTGAGGAGAGGAGGGATGGGAGTAAAATAGACACGGATGAATGGCCCTAGAGGGTTTGTGGCGAAGACAGAGTGATGTTGAGAGGTTACAAAGAAGAGTAACCATCAATGTTGAGAGGTTACAAAGAAGAGTAATCATCAATGTTGAGAGGTTACAAAGAAGAGTAACCATCAATGTTGTCATGCTGAGAATAAGCTTGGGGGGAGGGACGACGGGGGGGGGCTGGGAAGGAGAGGATGAGGGGAAGGGGAGAGTCCGACAGTGCACGATAAGCGAGAGAAAGACCTGCGAAGAGGATGCGCGATGCTGGGAACATGTGTAACCAGCAGCACCAACAGCCGCACACAAACACAGCCCCCCCTGACAGCGATGCTCAGATCACAGGCACCACCAATAGCACTGTTGCAAGCCAAGCCACTCACTCCTGCGGCCGGCCAGCCATGAGCAGCACGAGCAGCTCCCACAGCGCCGTATACGCGAGAATGAAGAGGTACGTGAGCAGCACGCCTGCTCCCACGGACAGCAGCATGCGCGCGAAGCCGTGGCGCTGCCACTTCTTGATGTAGAAGGGTGTGCCCAGGAACACCAGCGAGCCCAGTGCGTTGGTCACGGGGGACGTGGCCTGGCGGAAGGAGAGGAAGTGGCGCTGGCGCACGGCTGGGAGGTCCAGGAGGGAGTCGAGGCACTGGTGGAGCGCCCATGGGTAGGTCTCCTTCACGCCGCTCACCCTCTGCCCGTTGAACCTGGGTGAAGGGAGGTGGGGGTAGGGGGGTGCAAGGGGGAAGAGGAAGTGGAGTCCGGTGCAGAGGGGTTGAGGAAGCGGCGTTGCACGGCTGGCATGCCCAGCAGGGTGACCAGCCACTGATGGGGAGCCCATGGGTAGGTCTCTTTCACGCCGCTCACTCTCTGCCCATTGAACCTGGGAGTAGAAGGGCGAAAGAGGGAGTGGAGTTCGGTGCAGAGTGGTAGAGGAAGCGGTGCTGGCGCACAGATGGCAGGTCCAGGAGGGAGTCCAGCCATTGGTGGAGCGCCCACGGGTAGGTCTCTTTCACGCCGCTCACCCTCTGCCCGTTGGACCTGCCCGTGGGGAGGTGGGGAGCATGCGGAGTGGGTGGGGTAGGAATCGATGCAGAGGGGTAGAGAAAGGTTAATGAACCCCATTACTGACTCACTTCCCATTTCACTCATTTTCAAACAGCACTAGGAGGAATAAGGGCAACCGGGCCACCTGCCCCAGTTACTACCTCCATCCGACTCCCCACCCTTGTGTGTTGTTATTCGAATTTCAATTGCCCCACTCACTCCCTCCCTACACTCCCTCCCGCACTCACCCTCGGTACACTACGAGGAAGGGGAAGAAGCGCCACCACGAGTCGTACAACTCATTGCAGAGGTTGCTTTCGATTGGTCAAATTTGGTCAACGACAGGCGACAGCCGCATCGCCCGCCAAGTGATGTGCTTTCAATTGGTCGAGTCTGGTTCCTTCCACTAAAGGTGTTTTGCTGAATCCCAGGCGTTACGGTGCGGTACAAGGCAACAGTTGGAGCTTGAACAGTCACTGTTCCGTACTTGTTACTGTAGAGTACAGCCAGTCGTGTCTCCTCTCCTCTCCACCCCACGTTTCATGACGAGGTTGTTCAGGTAGTTTCCGTAGATCACGGAAACGGTTTATGGGAAACCAATGGCGATTGACCCAGAGTGCGATATACAGCAAAGGGGGGTCTATTGCTGTAAGGATTTTTTCAGCATTCCTTACCGCGTTCTCCAACATCGCGTCGAGCAACAGCCGTTGTTCGCCCGTTAGTGCTAACGGGGCTTCGCCAACTTCGCGCGCACTGTTTTACCAAACCTTGCACTGCTGGCCTGGCCGAGTCGGCCCACGCTTCAGGACTAGCCCGAACCTCGATGACAGCCTAGCACTAGCTAGCTCACATGCACCGCGTAACCGTTGCATGTTTTCGCACATAAGTATTCGCTCATGCCTTCGCTCATACTTTGTACTCGTTTGACACCTAGTGCAATCCTCGCTACTTCGATTCATTGCACCCGTAACACTTGGTATTCAGGGCCTCTTTTCTTTTCGGACCGCGCATCTCCGCACCCAGAGAAATAAACTTTTGCTTTTTTCACTCGAAGGGACTCACGCCCCTTAGCGCCTAGGAGCCGCTGTCCTCGCGTTCTCTCGTAAACGTGTGCAGACACGACTACGCCTAGAGCTAAGACGAGCCGCCGCCCCTCGACATGGCCGAACACATCGACGTCACGAACCTCACGCAGGAGCGTCCGAACGAACTACTGCAGCCAGGGCCTCAGATACCAGGAAAAAAACCCTGAAATTCCTGATTTTGGCAGTCCTTTTTTTACCTACTCTGAAAAGTCAGTGTTGAGATTTTTGAGGGACTGATCTTTCAGCCTTTTTTGTTAGGCCACACTGAAATTTCAGACTTTTTTCCCCTAGGACACTGATGCCACAACGTTGTAACGAAACCAACACTGAAGCGATTCTTACCTGTGCCATGTGGATTTGACCGCAATTACAGGGAATCTCAGATTCCCGAGGTGTAAGCACCCCGTGGCGAGGCCAACCTGTGAAATTCTGCCTCTGGTTCACGTTCAGAGGTGTTTTGTTGGCGCGGCGCCTCACACCATTGGGCCGTTTCGCTGCAGCAGTCAGTCTTGGCCAATCCGAACGTGGCCACCATGTGGTGCTGGAGGGCTGCCAAGGATCCTGCCCCGTTGCCATCACATGCGACGCATTAGTGACAGCCTTTTTACTAGTGGTACACTGATGCATCAGGCTTTTTACAAACGCAACACTAACATTTCAGCCTCTTTTTTTTTGAACACTGTCAATCAGAGTTTACACACAGGGGGACCCTGATGGGTTGACGACCCTAAAAGTGAATCTGAGGGCCTGGCTGCAGCAGCTGCGCGAAAGTTCTGAAGAAATTGCGGCGCTGACGGCATAACGTACGTCCCTGCAAAACGACGCCGCACGAGCACAACAAGCACAATCACTGACACAAGGCACGCACGGACAACCTGCACGTCAAGCATCACAACACGGAAGTGTGGGGAAACCCTCGAGCGCGGCTAGTGATGGCGTCGTCCGCAACGACGGAGACGACGACCACGGCGCGATACACCCCGATGCGACGAAGCGGCTAGAAGCCAACCCCGCGTCACGATTTCGGTGCCGACCGGCGAATCAGCACTGCCGTCGCCGATGCCGATCAAGCCGCAGCGTCCGGCTTGCTTCGATCCAAGTCAGCGGGGTGGTCCTACCGTTCAGGCGTGGCTGTTTACGATGAATGTCTTCTTCAACGCCAACTACGTCTCGGAGGACTCGGCGAAGATTCGTTACGCCGTGTCGCTGCTGCGAGGACCCGCCATGGACTGGTGGCGCGTCATCGTCACGAAGCCGATGGACTATGCGACTCTACAGACACGGGAAGGACAAACCGGACCCTGGGCGACGTCGTATTTCGTGGAAGTGCCCCAATATCGCACGTGGGACGCGTGGTGCGCAGGTCTGCGCGCACGATTTGAGCCAATCGCGGCTTCGATCGCGGCGCTTCAGAAGCTCCGCACTTGGCGCCAGCTCGGTTCCGTCCAGGACTACACCAGTGGGTTCCTGGCGCTGTGTGAGCAGGTGGGCTACATGCACGAGGGCGAACGCATCGACCACTACATCGGCGGCCTGAAACATGAAATCGCCCAGGAAATCCAGCTCCGCAACGTTACGGAATTCCAAGACATTCTCGCCATGGCGGAGAAGCTTGACTTCTTACGCCGACCGAGACCGGGGTCCTACGGAAACAACAGTAACTGGGGACATCGGTCTTGTGGGATGAACGAGCACGCCACGATACGCGCCGTCGCCGCGAATGCCGCTGCCGCACCGTTCAAAGGGCGCTCCTTCGCGTGCAATCGGCCGGGACACCGTAAGAGCGAATGCCCGGAAAACGCTAAGGGAAAGGGGGAAGCTGAGCAGTAGAAACAGACCAAGCAGCAGGGAAACGTTGGGAGTCAGTAGCAGACGGGCCCTCTACTGACAGGTCATGCCGCTCGCCCGACCCAACCGACCCTCACCAAGTGATTGTGCCGGTTCACGCAATTGACCACACCCGACCGAATAAGGAGGGTACATCGGTAGACATCCCCATACTGCTTAGCGGGAAAATACAGACGGACTTAGTTAAAATCTTCGTAGACGGGGGGGCTAGCCACAGCCTGATCAACACCGCGACAGCACGGAGACTGAAACTGCCACTGGACAGGTGTTTACCTGAGATTGACGCAAGACTAGTCGACGGCACGCCACTGGCGATACGGGAACGTGTGGACCGAGTTCGGATTCGTTGCGGGGGTAGCTTCACATTTACCCAGGAAATGCTCGCAACGACCCTCGACGGAACCGACATTTTACTCGGCCGTGATTGGCTGCGACGACACAATCCGCGAATCGACTGGACGACGGGTGATTGCACCGTGCGAGTGAACGGTAACAACATCGCCTTACCTCGCTGGAGCTCGCTTGAGTCTTCGTCGGTGCGTGTCAACGCGATCACGATGGAACGCGCCGTAGCGGCAGGAGCTGACGTGTATGCGGTTGACATCCGGGAAGCCGAGGCAGCAGTCAAGCCGAGTGATTTATAGAAACTGCTCGCCGACGTACCGGATGACTTGGCAGCACTACTGAAGTAGTACAGTGGGATATTTCCGGATGACCTACCGGAGGGACTGCCACCTCAGCGACCGCACGACCACAGGATAGAACTAGAACCGGGGGCACAGCCGACAGTACAGCGACAGTTCCGACTGACCCAACCCGAACTGGACGAACTTCGGAAGCAGCTGGATTACCTGCTCGAGAAAAAGTTCATTCCCCCGAGTTCGTCACCCTTCGCCGCACCGATACAGTTCACACCGAAAAAAGACGGGGGATTTTGCATGTGCATAGATTACCGCGCACTGAACCGAGTTACCATCAAATCCCGTTACCCCATCCCGCGAGCCGACGAACTTCGCACAGCCCGGGTTTTCTCGAAAATTGACCTTCGAGGAGGTTACCACCAGATCCGCGTCAATCCACCCGACTGCCCGAAAACTGCCTTCCGAACCCGCTTCGGATCATTCGAATACACTGTAATGACTTTCGGACTGACCAACGCCCCTGCAACCTTCCAAATGACCATGAATGAAGCCTTCTGCCCGCTTTTAGATAAGTGCGTAATCGTCTACTTAGATGACATACTGATCTACAGCCCAGACAGAGCACAGCACCTACAGGACATCAAAATACTGAGTGAGAACCGCCTACTGACCAACGCCTCTAAGTGTGAGTTTCTACAGGACAGACTGGAGTTTTTGGGGCATGTGATTTCAGCCAACGGAGTGGAAATAGACCCGAAAAAGTTCGCGACGATTCAAGCATGGCACGCGCCGACCAACTTGATTGAGTTGCAGAGTTTTCTGGGGTTCGTCAACTACGTGCGACGGTTCGTCCCCGACATGGCGAAGTTGACTGCCCCGTTGACCGACCTGCTGAGGAAGGGGGTTGAGTACACGTGGGGGGAGAAAGAGCAAGCTGCCTTCTCGGCCCTCAAAAATATTTTGTGCTCACCGCCCGTGCTTCACATCGCAGATCCTCATCGTCCGTTCGAGCTCGTCACCGACGCAAGTGACATCGCTGTGGGAGCAGTACTGTTGCAGAACTTCAGAAACAGCCTTCAGCCAATCGCGTACGAGTCTCGCAAGCTTCACCCGCCCGAGCGCAACTACCCGATACACGACCGCGAGATGTTGGCGATCGTGCACGCGTTCAAAGTGTGGCGCTGCTACCTGACAGGAGCCGGCGTGACAGTACGGACAGATAATTGTGCACTACAGTACCTTCGCGCCCAACCGAATCTCAACCCACGACAGATCCGCTGGTTGGACTATATGGAGTCCAACTTCCACTACACCGTCACGTACAAAAAGGGGGCGTCGAACATCGCTGACGCACTCACCCGCCCCACTACCCAACTTTACGCCATCCTACTCGCCCAAACCAACCCACTGTTAACAGGCCTATTCACCCACGGATACAGTACCGACCCATTCTTCACGACCAGAAATTCACAGCAATTAGCAGAAGCAAAGGGAGCCTATTACG